CTGATTGCCATTTATCATGGGTCGGGGCCAAAGTTTATTTTTCTTTATTGTATGAATTATTATTGGACCTGCACTTGGGGTCAGGTGGATAAATAAATGCCCAAGTAAACTGCTTTCAAGCACACCTGAATAACTTAAGAATTTCTACCAATAAAATCTTGACATATTAATTATAAATAATTTTATTTATTTATTTTTAAATATTTATTTATTTGAGGGAGAGAGAGCAGGAGCAGGGGGAGCAGCAGCAGAGGGCGAGGGAGAAGCAGACTCCCCGCCAAGCAGGGAGCCCAACACGGGACTTGATCCCAGGACCCCGGGATCATGATCTGAGCCGAAGGCAGATGTTTAATCAACTGAGGCACCCAGGCACCCTAATTATAAATACTTTTAAAAATCTATTTTTTAAAAACAAGTCTTTGTAAGGATTTTATGAGGGAACTTTTTTTTTTAAGAGGGAACTTTTTTTTTAACCTAATTGATGTATTTGAAAATATGGAAGTTTGGTAGGTTAGGGAAATCTTCAGAAATAAGATTAACCTTGAGTGATCCTGACAGACTCTGGAATGCAAATGGTAAGTACAGCACATTGGCAGAAGTGAAGCTTTCTTTAGGAGAGCAGAGGAAGAGAAAAAATGGAGAATATAAAATAAGTTCACAGTAGGAATAAGAAGGCCATTTAGTTCTTTTAAAAAGAGCGTTTCATAGGTTGATTCACAATAGTTTTTTTTCCTCTTAAATTGTTTTGGTTTTTTCCTTAGAAACAACTAGAAACAAAGACCACTAACACTGCAAATTGGTAGTCTCTGGTAATACTTTAATTCTAATTGGCAAAGAAAGGAAATAGAATTAAGACGGTTTTAAATGATTCTTAACATTTTTTGGTTCCCAGTTCAATCAGCATAGTCATCAACCGACATTTACTCTGAACGCCTTGGGTGAATGGCATTGAACCAAATCCCACAAGCAATAATATCTTCGGGCGCCTGGGTGGCTCAGTTGGTTGGGCGACTGCCTTCTGCTCGGGTAGTGATCCCGGGGTCCTAGGATCGAGTCCCTCATTGGGCTTCCCTTGCTCTGTGGGGAGCCTGCTTCTCCCTCTCCCTCTGCCTACCACTCCCCCTGTTTATGCTGTCTGTCGAATAAATAAAATCTTACAAAAAAAAAAAAGAATATCTTCTGCCTACGTGAGCAAACTGGTAGTTGAACTATTGCTCTCAGAAGCTATGGATAATAACGGTTGATGCTAATATGCTGTGAGATTCCAGCCTTGGAGTCATGAGGTTAACAAAGGAAAAATACACAACAAAAAAAATTTTTTTTGAAAAATAGAAACCGTATTTACTTTTTATGTTAAAGAAAGAAGTTCACTGTCCTATGCAATGAAACACTAAATGTCAAATTATTTTTTAATATTTCACCAAATATTATTTTAGCTTAAAAGAGTTGAATTTTATTTGATTGATCATTGTATGAATAATGCAAAGTAAACTTTCATTTTGACAAGTAAAATACGGAGATGAGTTGATTCAGAGCATATCAAGTAGAATCTTAAGTGATTTATGCCTTCCTTGAAAACTCAAATACAAAGAAATCTTGGTGGATAAGATGTCAGAAATTTGTGACTGAAACCTATTTTTTACCTTATCTCCATGGTTAATATCACATTTAATATTGTGGTATTTTTCATTCTATAGTACTAAAAATGTTTCTCTAAAGGATGATCAGATTTTAAGTATTTATCTTTTCCTTGTAGTCCTCCCTCCTTTTTTAATCCCTCCCTACCCAATCTCTTTTTGCTCCGGTAGGGTTCCGATTGCTGGCTACCCAGTCATTACCATTCTAATACTATTTAAGGTAGCTCTGCTGGGTTTATTCATTTTGAGTCCTTCAATCCAGTTTCTCTTTGAACCTGGATTCCTAAATCAAGTTGACAAACCAGTTTATTTTTCTCCCTTTTCATTTCAACAATTCGTGATTCAGATTGGTAGGAAAATATAATGTAATCCAGGCACAACCTCTTCCCCTTGGAATCAGTATTTGCGAGGCTTCCTCCTTTCCTTGGCTGAACGTGCTTAAGTCAGACAGAGTACCTAGTGAAGGACTTCAGCCCCCACAGTTCCCTGTGTGCGCATGCCCTCTCTTCTTACAGTTGTCAAAGTGCTTTTGCCAGAGCGGTCACATAATCAACCTGAAAGAAGAAAATAAATACTGTACACTTTTTAATTTTATCGATCCTTAAAAACTGGACACTCAAAGGTAACTGCTACTAAGAATTTGTTACTTGAGATTGGGTGATTGCATGTAAAGGAAGATCTATTGTGTGTGTGGTGGGGGAGGGGAAGGAGGTATCTATTTCTCGGACTTTGCTGTAAATAAGAAAAAAGAAAAAAGAAAAAAAGAAACACACCCAAACAAACTATAGAAGCAGTTACCGAGAGACATTGCATTTTAACTTCGTAAATATTATTTTAATCTATTGCTTTCCTTTTGTTTAAAAGGGTCTTATTTATTAAAGATGGGTCTTGACCTTGACAGAGTGAATTTATGCAGAAAGTGAAATTTATCTCTTTAAGGAGTGTTGAGAAGAGAAATGGGTGTTCCTGGTTTGATAAAATTTTTTAAATTCAGTAAATATATTAATTATAGCCTTCATAAAAGATTGAGTCCAGCTTACTTTTTAGCTGTTTTGCTATAGTATAGCATTAATTTTTCCATCAAGAGCATGTAGTCTAAACTGAAGGCATTAACAAAAAGCATCGATACAAGCATCGGGAAAGCTAAGTGTTATTAAAATTATAATCAAATGCATATTTCAGCCATGATGATATGGCTATTGTAAAGATAATTCTAGCCCACTGAAGCAACTCAGATCCCAGATTATAATGGTTTACTGCAGCACTGCTTAAACCAAGTATGAAAATGTCTCTTTCTATGACTATTTCCTTTGGCAGCGATAGAACTTTGTGCTGTTGTGAATCCAAGCTTTGCTTGCCTCTTTGTGTCATTTTACAATACTGATCAAAGCCATTGTTTTAGACCAAGGGAACTGAGGAACATAAAATCAATCTTATGTAGGTTTTATTGGTAGTAGCTGGCAATTTGTGAGGTATATTGGGCTGGGTTTTGGGAGGGGGTTAGAGGGGAGGGAAGAGAAGAGAGTGAGGTGGCTATGAAGCATTTCCTTGAGCCCACTATTTTGTGTATGAAACTTTAAAATGAAAGATTAACCATTTTAAAGATAGTCTTTAATAAAATAGTACTACTTTAATCCCATTTCTTGATCTGACATATTTTGCCTAGTAGTTAAGAGTGATGGCATCTCCATTTTCCAATACATTTATTTTATGACAGTTATCATGAGGTTGTCTAAAGGCAGAGCTTCTGTGTGATTCTGAATGTCCTTTCACAAGTGTTCTGGGAAAGATGCTTCTCCAAGTATCTGAGTCAATTAAGTAACTGCATTAAATATATTAATAACTTTGTTGCGATCATACTGAATCATCATCTAAAAATAATTATATGTTTGGTCATATCCTCTAACATCTCAAAATATTTGTTTTTAGGGTCTCAGCGCTGTAATATTCATATATTTAAAACAATTAACCTGTTCTAAAGGACAAACTAACTCAGTGATAACTATGTGTATGGAAATCTGATTTTGAATGATTACTGTTTTTATCCTTGAATGAGAAAACAGGCTGTATGGCAGAGGTGAATATAGCCCTTCTATGAGAGATGGAAAATACCATACGCTCCTTATATGGCTAAATGAAGCAGTGATGGCAGTGCACTATAATTACAGTGTATGAGAATTTGGGACTTTGTACTATGCTATTTTTAACACTTTTGCTAGCATATGGTAATTCAGGGTCTTCAAACCATAATCTTTCACAGTTAATACCAGTGATAAGAGAATGGATTCTAAATTTGCCAAAGTCTTGTGACCAAGGCAGCATCAGGAGGATTCAAAAATGAAAATCTGGCAACCCCAAAAGTATCTTGAGTTTCTACTTAAATCTCAGGGGGATTTTTTTTTAAAGCTCCGCCCCCACCCCATCTCAGAGTCAGTCTGTCTCTGTCTTTCGCTCTCTCTGACCTCAAATCCAACCAGAACATTTCTCCACGCTGCAGAGAAATTTTCAGGCTCCTGTTGAGACCTGAACCGCTGAGAAGCTAAGAAATTTCTTGTATGGCAGAATTGGAGACAAGAAGATTGGAGAATAAGCAGAAAAACCCTAATCCTCAGAGTGTAACAAGAAGCAAGAGCTTACAAATGTTTCAATAGATTTTTACCTCTTTAAAAACGGTGTTTTTTTTTTTTTTTTAATGTCTCCTAACAAAATGGAGTAGCTTGCAGCTACTGGGAGGCCAGAGAATGATTGTGCAGCTGAGTCCTCCTCCTAACAAATGCCAAGGATTTCCTCCCTCGTGGTTCGCTGCTGCTAAATGAAACAATTATCAACGCAAGAAGGCAGTTTGCTAATCAAGAGGGATAAGACTGCTGTTTCTTTAAAGTGCCGAGCACGGAAAGGGGAAGAAAGGGTCGTGTGCGGTGTCTTTTTAACCTTGCTGAAGGACGCAGCAGTATTTATTGACGTATGCAAATAACTGGGGAGGGTGGTGCTTGGGAAAAAACAGGAACCAGAATCAGTTTCTCATTGCAGGGTGAACGCTCTGAGTTCCGGTGAAGGGAAAAGAGACGTGGCGAAATTGCTGTCTTTCTGTCTTATAAGCACATCTCTCACTAATACAGAAAAGGAACCAAGACATCAGAAAGGGTGAAGACGCTCTTACAGTATTTTTAGAGACCTTGCACGAGCCCCCCCCCCCCCATCCCCAGCCCGACCTGTTCTTCTAAATGGGAGATTATGGATTTGCATTGCAATTGGCTAGTAGCGGTGGCACTGGATTTTCGCAAGGAAAACACCCGCCCGCTTTAGCGAGGGGCATTAACGATCACATTGACAATAACGCGTCTCTCTTTTTTCCCGTTTCAGCTGCGCAAACCATGCAGGATGATTTACTGATGGACAAAAGCAAAACCCAGCCCCAGCCCCAGCAGCAGCGGCAGCAGCAGCAGCCCCAGCCCGAACCCAGCGCAGCCGAAGCCCCGTCCACGCCCCTCTCCTCAGAGACCCCCAAGCCGGAGGACAGCAGCGCAGTGCCGGCCCTCAGCCCAGCCGCGGCCCCGCCGGCCCCCAACGGCCCCGACAAGATGCAGATGGAATCGCCGCTCCTGCCGGGCTTGAGTTTCCACCAGCCCCCTCAGCAGCCGCCGCCGCCGCAGGAGCCCGCGGCTCCGGGCGCGTCGCTGTCGCCGTCCTTCGGCAGCACCTGGTCCACGGGCACCACGAACGCGGTGGAGGACAGCTTCTTCCAGGGGATCACCCCAGTCAACGGGACCATGCTCTTCCAGAACTTCCCGCACCACGTCAACCCAGTCTTCGGAGGCACCTTTTCTCCGCAGATCGGCCTGGCGCAGACCCAGCACCACCAGCAGCCGCCGCCGCCGGCGCCGCAGCCCGCGCAGCCCGCGCAGCCCCCGCAGGCGCAGCCCCCGCAGCAGCGCCGCTCGCCCGCCAGCCCCAGCCAGGCGCCCTACGCACAGAGGAGTGCCGCCGCGGCGTACGGCCACCAGCCCATCATGACCAGCAAGCCGTCCTCGTCCTCGGCTGCAGTAGCCGCCGCAGCCGCGGCCGCCGCTTCGTCCGCCTCGTCCAGCTGGAACACGCACCAGAGTGTGAACGCTGCCTGGAGCGCGCCGTCCAACCCATGGGGTGGCCTGCCGGCGGGACGGGACCCTCGCCGGGCGGTCGGCGTGGGCGTGGGCGTGGGCGTCGGGGTGCCCTCACCGCTCAACCCCATCTCGCCGCTCAAAAAGCCCTTCTCCAGCAATGTGATCGCGCCGCCCAAGTTCCCCCGCGCGGCCCCGCTCACCTCCAAGTCCTGGATGGAGGATAACGCTTTCCGGACGGATAATGGTAACAATCTGTTGCCATTTCAGGTAATGCTCCAGTGCACCTGAACACACCTTCCTTCTACCCCGCTCCCTTTGCCCCTTCTTCCCTGCCATTTAATCGTCCACTGATGCTTGTCCTTTAAAAAAGACAGCGATGTCCAGCCCCCCGGTCCGCTTCGAAAGCCTCCATTTCACCAGGGCTGTTCCATTACCGGGGACAAGGTTGGGGGAACATTGCGACTGAGGAATCATATTTAAGCACCCTGATAAGATAGAAAAGGGCCTTTTTCTTTTGGTATATTTTTCCTTCACCGTGTGTGTGCCTTTTATTTTGACCTTTGACAAAGGTGCAAGTGTATGGCAAGGTGCTGGGCTGGTCCCAGGATGAGTAGGCTGAGATTCCTGTCATTTTAAGTAGCTACACATTTCAGGTTATGCAATCCTGGGTTCAGAGTGCCTCCTGAAAGCCATCCACTCCCAAACTACCCTGGGCCTACTCTTAAAGAGGTTAACAGCCCTTGAGTGGTGCTATTTCAGACAGTTGCATATGCTCAATTAAACTAATGTGAACACATGTGTTTATGTCTCGCTGAGGTGCTGGCATCATTAATAGCAATCAGCATATTGCCCCTGCCGGGAAAATTATGAGTGTGAGATTCCAATAAACTCCCGAACTCCTTCAGGGAATGAGTTGGAAGAGTGGAAATTCTAGGGGTAACCCTTCCTATGTTACCTAGAAGAAGGACTTAGACATTGTTTTTTTCTAGAGCAAAGAGACAATAGGACGCGACCTTCAGAGCCATATTGCAATGGAGTCTATTTGCTAGCTAGCACTGAAATATTTAAAGCTGCAGTGTCCTTCAGATGGGTTATTTAAGAAGACGATGCAGATCAATTACACCATTTGAACCTGGGCAAAGTGAAAGTCTTGCAACTTTAATGAAAAATGCGCCTTGTGTCTTGGTGTTAAATACCAGTGAAAAACCTAGGAAGTGCCCCAGACAAAAAAGGTTGAATGGAGTGTCCTTATTCTGTTCTTGTTTTCTGATCCAGCCCACGGCCACATCGGTTGGCAGTGTCCTGAACATCTTGAGTTGGAAAGGGGTGGTGAGGGTGAGTGTTCACTGGGGGCTTTTGTTCTCAGGCAAACATTTTCCTTCACTTACAAATTGATTTGGCTATAAGCTTCTAGGCTCAGTTGAAAAAAAAAGAGAAGAAAGGAAGGAGAGAGGAGAGCTTTGGATAAGACCCAGTTGGGGTAGTCAGGGAAATGAAACAAATCTTTTGAGCATTGCTGAAAAATGGCAGAACTGAAATTTGACAGAGGTAGTTTAAAGCATCAGGTGCAATTGGAACCTTCATGTTGTTCTTTACATTTCAGTCGTGATGTTTGGGGTGGCTCCCATCCATGAAGAAGGAGATAGGGTTATTGAGAAGCACATGATTCTCTAGGCTACAGGAAGGATTTTTAACCTTGACAGTTCCGGGGCGGGGGGGGGTCCATGAAACTTGGAAAGTGTGTGTATGAGAGTTTTTCATGAGAGAGAATCTTAACAAATTTTCACAGGGATCCTTTAGGAATGGAAGATTTTAATATTAAGGTGTATTTCTTTCCATTCTAAAGTTTGTCTTGATAAAATGAAGAGACACTGCAAGATGGGATTAGTTTGGTAGAGAAAAGGAGGAATCTGCTTTCTGGAATTTCTCTATGTGCTTATTTTTGTGCTGAGGGGGTAGAACAGGGAGGCTGCATTTGGTAGGAGAGCCCTTCTTTTTCCAACAGTTCCTCTTTTCATTTTGATGCTCCCTATCCAAGTCCATCTTAGAAGATAACCTAAACTCTGAGTGGGAATTTTAGAGGTGAGAGCTGATGGTATAGACATCAGTTACCTTTTTCTAGGCACTGAATCTGAATACAACTAGCTTTTGATTAATTGTCTCTGGAAGTGAGGGCTGGGGAGAGATTAAATCCATAAAATTTCCCCCAAACTGATATTGACAAGTAGTGCATGGATTGCCAGTTGTTTCTCAGCAAACCATTTACCAGCTATGCTAATGAGAGCCAGACAGACTGGTTTGAGTTTGGTTTCTTGTCTTTTCATCCCTGGTGGTACTATTGAGTAGGCAAAGATGGCCAAAAGACTTGTGCAAGGAGAGATTTTATTAAAAAATAAGTTTTATATATTTGGCCTCAGGAAAAATTACATGGACTTTATGTCTCACATCTTTGTCTTACTTAAAATGGAGCTTCAGGGTTTTGAAGCAATATTAAAACCAGATTAGAAGTAACCTGGTTGTGTTTTAGTTTAGGGTTAGAATATTATAAGACTTTTGTGTTAAGTATATCACATGTTTAAAAAACAAAAAAAAACACCTTGAGTCTTGTGTTTAGAATTTTACATGTTTGTGCATTTATTTAAATCATTTTTCTATGAAAGGGAGGAGATAAGTAGTCCTAGAGACTTTTACAGATTCTGAGCTAAAAGGGGCTTGCAACAGTGATCTACTCTAATATATCTTAATATGTATTTGTAAAATCCATATCCCCTCAGTGTTGTTTCACTCTCTTTTGCCACCCAACACAAAAGATTTTTTTGGAGCTTTACTTCTGTGGTTTATATTGTAAAAGCAATAACTGTATTTGAATGTGGTTTTCCAAACCATACATTTCTTTACCCCCTTCCCTCAATTCTAACAAAGTTGATTGGTTTCTCTGAGTTGGAGTGGCTGCTGCTTTCAGGTTTACTTGTATCTAAACACCACTTCATATCTGTAAATAAGGAAACCGAGGTCCTAAGAGGTAGAGTGACATAGTTCCAGTCCTAGGGGTTTGGCTAATTTTGTTGATGTGTGTACTTAACTTCCCTATAGCACTAGTGATGTCAGGTAGAATTCATTTTAAGTCAGATTCTCTTTGGGCTCCATTCAAAGGGACTTAGTTATGGAACTATCTAGTGAGGTTCTCTGTCTGGCTGATGCCTTTTGGTGATGTACCTCCCACTAACGTGCTCAGGAACAGTGAGACACTCCACTAGGGGAATTATAAATATGCATCATTCTATATTTATATAAGACAGAGAAACCTACGTATGTAAAAGAACCAAAGCAGAGGTGTTTTCTATATGTAGTAAATTTGGCTTTAAATAGCATTTTTATCCAGAGGAGTTTAGAAGGGACTTTTAAGAATACCTGTTCCACAACTCTGTTCATTTTCTAAAGGAGGAAATTGAAATCCCAATACGTGAAATTCCTTGCCCAAGTTTGGGTGGGTAGTTTCTGTCCGAAGCAGGCTTTGTCTAGGTTCAAATTTCAACTCTGCCAGTTACTTGCTTTGTAATCTTGAGCAAATTATGTATACATATTGACCCTCATCTGTAAAATGGGAATAATAATAATTCCTTGCTTCATATGAGTCCAAGTGAGAAACCTCATGTTAGCACAGTGCTTGATCCATAGTAAAGTACCACTTAAATGTTGGGCTACAATTATTGTTATTGTAATGGTGCCTGGAGGTTCTGTATGATTTTATAGTATGGATCACTGATTTTTCATACAGTGCCGTCTGAATAACTGTAAACTTCTATATAATGTTATTTGGTCTTTTTTTTCTGTCTGAAGGTATCCTCTGGTTACTGTAACAATTTGATGACCCACAGTTTACTTATGGGCCAGGCCCTGTGCTAAGTACTTTAGTTATAATTCCTCATTGGATCTCCTTTGAGGTTCAGGACTATTATAACCCTTATTATACTGACAGAGAAATTGAGAGTTAATACATTTACTTTATTTGCTCAAGATCACACAGCTGCTAACTGGCAGAGTTGGGATTTGAAGCCAGGCAGTCTGCCTCTAGAGCCAAGTCTCCACTATAATACCTTGAGTATAATAACTCCAGGACATCAGTTAACATTGTAGTGTAGAAGCAGGAGACTGGACTGAATCTGTACTTGACCTTATGATATACTCTGGAGATAGTGCTTTTAAAAAAATTTGTATTGTTGGAAATGGAGGAAGAAAAATATAGTGCCCATACATTTACTACCACTTATTTGCAACAGTAGTCAGTATATCCCCCTATTTATTTATTTACTTAATTTATGTATTTTTTAATATTGTATTTTTGGAAAACAAATTATGTTTTGCTTTTTTTCTGCATCTCTGCCTTTATCCCTCTTGTCTTCCCTCACCCCGAATTGAAAGTAATTATACAGATTTTATATTTTCTGGCATAAGTCTAGTTAATTGTAATTTAGTGTTAATTTTGCTAGTGGGTTATCTGTACCAGAGGAACAAATTCTTTACATGAATTAATGGGAATATAGGTCATTATTATTATTATATATTTTAAAGAGAACATAGGGGAGGGAGGATGGGGAAGGGCAGAGGAAGAGGGAGAGAGAGAATCCTTAAACAGGCTTTATGTTCATCTCAGAGCCCTACACGGGGCTGGATCCCAGGACGCTGAGGTCATGATCTGAGCCAAAATCAAGAGTCGGATGCTTAACCACTGAGCTACCCAGGCACCCCAGGAATATAGATTATTTAAAAAAAATAAATACACCTATTCATAATAAATTTTGAGGAAACAGTAATATCTTCAACCAGTCTATGCTTCCCCCCCTTTTTTTTGTAAACCATCTTTTTAGGAAGTAGTATAAATTATCTAGTTATGCTTACTTTTGACCAAGGATAGTATGACCTAGATTTAAAACTGGAGACTCTTCCGTAGTTGGTTTCTTAACTACTGCTGTAATGCAAAACCACTTAAGGTCCACCCAACCCCACAAACTGTTTCAGAGCCTATGGCATGGTTACTGTGAATGCCAACAAAGCCACATTATCTATATTCTATTTAAAAGATTGATTGGTTAGAAAATATTAGGTTTTCTATGCTACTAAAAACTAATCTAATAATATAAACTGTATACTTCAAAATTGCGTATTGAAAAGTAGTTAGATTTAAACTTTTCATGACCTTGCAGTGAGTTGATACAAAAGTACACCCTCAGAAATGTAATGGTTTTAGATACTCTCTAAAACACAAT